GACCTCGCAGCGGAAGAGACACGACAACGACAAGACCTTGAGCGAGCAGCACGACATCCCACCACACCAAGAGGAGGCGACGTTTCTCTCAGAAAGCCATTCAGGGATACCAATACCTGAGGAAGACATGACGGACGACTCCGCTCTTGAACAGAGGCTGCGCCAACCCCCAACCTACACAAGACAGCCCAGTACCTTCCACACCCCCACGCAACCTCTAGAAATTAATCCTTGCAGGGTCCTATGAAGAAGGTGCTTGGCGGGAGGGTTTATTCCAACATGAGTCTTGAATGTGCACTGGTCCCCGTGGTCATCATCATCTTCATCATCATCATCATCACCAACAGCATCATCAACATCATCCTCATCATCGTCCTCATCGTCGGCAGTACGAAGCAGAAAAAGAGCGCGTCCTGTGGCGGGTTGCAGGGTGGAGGGTGGTCGGTTCGGAACCTCCACCCTCCCCTCCAGGGCGCGGAGCAGCTCACTTCGTCTTGCCCACTGGATGGACCTCGGATGTCTGGAGTTGCCAACCACCAGAGACGGTGAGCGCAGGTGGCGGGCGACAGCCGTCGTGGCAGGTTCGTTTCCCCCAGACGAGGCGGCGAGGCCAGAACGGGCCGTCAAGTTCAAACGTCCTCTGGGGTCCCCGCCTCGGGCCCAGAGGGCCGGCGGGGAGCGGCAGCTCCCGAACCCTCTTTTGGTCAAGAACGCCCCCCTTTCAGAAAGGTTGTTACGTGCTTCCCCCCCCCCCCCGACACCACCAAAACTCCCCAACAGAAACCCTCCCGGGCTGTCTTCGTAGGAGCGGGGCTCCCCCCCAAACCCCCCAAGAGACCTACAGGGGGGGTTCGGGAGGGGTAGGAGGGATTTGGGGAGGTTCAAGGAGTTTTCCTTCCTGGATCCCTGTTTAAACCCTCTCGGGGAGATTCGTGGGGGCAGTTAGGCGGTTCCCCGGAAACCCCCCAAAACCCCTCTCAGGAGGGTCTTGGGTGAAGTTGGGGAGGTCTCCTCCCCCAGACCCACAGAAAAAGCTTTAGGACTGGTTGGGAAGGTTTAGGGAGGCTTTCCCTGTCGGAACCCCCCGAACACCCGCCTTTAGGGAGATTGCGGAAGGAGTTAGGAAAGTGTTTCCTTTGGGCCCCTCCCCCCCCAACAAAAAAACGTCCGGGGCGGGGGGGATGTTTGGTAGGTCTTCCTTTCCGGGCCCCGTCCAAAACCATCTTCCGATGGGCTTCGGCGGGGTTGACATGGTTTGCCCCCCTGGACCTCTCCAAGAAAATCCTTCAGGGAAATTGCTGGAAGGCGTTAGGGAGGTTCTCCTTGCCGGAACGGAACAAACGACATCCCCAGGAGACTTGTTGGAGGGCTTCGGAAAATCCGTCCCCCAGAACCCCCAAAAAATCTTCTTCGGGGGGGGGGACGGGGAATTAGCGGGGCTCTCCCCCCAGAGCCCCCAAAAAAACATGTCTTGAGTTGCTTTTTACGGTTTCGGGGGGCTCTCCACCCTGGAACCCCCCAAAAATATCCTCATGAGCGATTTGTCCCGCGGTTTAGGAGGGTTCCCCATTCCCCCGGAACCCATTTTAAAACCCCTCTCATTGCGTGTCTGATAGTTTTGGAAATACGTTCCCCTTGGACCCTTAAAAAATTCTTCACCAGCGTTGTTGGAGAGATTAAGAGGATTTCCCCCCGGACACCTTGCAGAGAGATCTGTTAGGGGATGAAGAGTGCTTTCCATCCCAGAACTCCCAAAAACTCTTCAGCTGTGTTTCTGTTCTGGGAAGAGTTAGAAGGTTTACGGTTTTCCCCCCGAACACCCCCAAAGCCTTTTTTAAGGAAGGTTCTTGAAGGGCTTAGGAAATTCTCCCCTCTGAATTTGAAAAAAACATACGCATGCAGGGGAGGACAGAAAGGTTCTAGGATTCCGAGAGGGAAAGGTAGGTCTTCCTCTTGGACTCCCAAAAAATAACCGTCTGGAGAGTTTGACGGGTTAAGGGGGAGTTTTCCCCACTGAATTTTTCCAGAACCCCTATCAGAGAGATTTGTTGGAGGGCTTAGGGGCGTTCTCCATCCCAGAACCCAACGAAAACTCGTTTGGAGTGGTTTTGAAGGAAATTAGAAGGGTGTTCCCCCCTTTGACCCTTCCAAAGCGTTCTTCAGAGAGCTTTTGACAAGTGTGCGAAGGTGCTCCCCCCCTGAACCCCAAAGCCCCCCCAGATATATCTTCATGGGTTTAGAAGGGCGTTCCCCCCAGACGCTTCCAAAACCCTCCTCGGGAGGATCTTGGTTGGGGGGTTTAAGGGAGGTGTTCCCCCCCTGGCCCCCCCCCAAAAAAAACATTAGCCCCCCCGAAAAACTGCAGGGAGATTTCTGGATGGTTTAGACGACTGTACCATCAGGGGAGTGGTTGGATGGGTTAAAAGGTTTCCCCCCCAGACCGTTTCCAAAACTCCGCTCAGGGAAAATCTGGAGGGGTTTGGAACGAGTTCCCCCCCTGGCCCAAGCCCCCCCCCCCCCAAAAAAAGACGCCCCAAAAAAACGCCTGGGGGGTATTAGGGAGGTTAAGGAGGTTCTCTCCCCCGGAACCCTTCCACGCACTGACACACACATCAAGAGAGTGGTTCTGAATAGGTTTACGGGAGGGCCTCCCCTGGGACCCCCAAAACCTCCTCAGGAGGGTTTGTTTGAAGGGTTAGGGTGATTCTCCACCCAGATCCCTTTCAAAGCTTTCGCCCCCCCCCCCCGGACCAGCCCAAAACCATTTTCAGCGGTGTGTTTGGGAGGTATAGATGGGCTTCCCCCAGGGCCACATCCAAAACCCCTTTCATGGAGGTGTTCCCCCCAGACCTTCCCTTCCAGAAACGCCAAAAATTTTGCTCAGAAGAGAGGGAATTCCCAGATCCCCCTAAACAACAAAATTGCCCCTCCCGGCCTCCCAAAGATTCTCCCCCAGGGAGGTCTTAGAAAGGTTTAAGCCCCTCCCCCCTGGGATCCTTCGAGAACCCCTAATTAGGGAGGATTTTGGGGCGGTTAGGGGAGTGCTCCCCCCAGAACCTTCCGAAAACCTCCCTCATAGTTTAGTGGGTTCCTCACGCCCGGAACATCCAAAACCCCCCTTCATGAGATGAGGTTGGTGTTCGCCCTTGGACCCCCCAAGAAAAACGCCTCAATAGGTTTTTGGGGGAGGCAGGGTGGCTCTCCTCCCCCGAACATGTGCAAAACACATGTCAGAAAGATTGTTTGAAGGGGTTTGGGGGGCTTCCACCCGGAACCATCCAAAAACCTCCATCAGGCCAGTTCTGAAAGAATCACAAGGATTTTCTGCTTCGAACCTCTAAGATTCTTGTAGGGTGTAAAACATGCATCTCTCCCGGAACCCTCCAGAACCCCCCTCGGGGGGGCGGGGGGAGAATTCAAAAGGGGTTTTCCCCCGGACCCCTCCAAAAAAACAAGATTAAGGCGGGTTTGGGCGGGTTAGGTGTGTTCCACCCCCTCGGCCCCCACCAAAAAAGCTCCACTGAGAGGGATTTTTGTAAAGTTTAGGTGGGCTTCCCCGCCCGGACCCCCAAAAGCCCCCCTTCAGAGGGGCTGCGGAGGTTAAGGGCGGTTTTTCGTTGCCAGATAGATGTGCCTCGTGTGTCAGAAACCAGCGTCCACGTCAGCACGGCCTCTGGGGCCAGAATTCCTGATTCGAAGGTTCACCTTCCGGCACGTCTACCGTAGCGCACTTGCACTTGCCCTGCCTTGGGCCAGGGGCCAGCGGGAATTCGGGCAGGTGGACATTTCGGTCTCGATTGCTTTCCTCGGGGGGCTGCTCCCTCGATTCTGCAGCCTCGGAAGCTGTTTATGCTCATGGCTGGCAGCCAGCTCCGACAGTTTCATCTCGAGGTTGGCCTTCCAGCTTTTTAAGACGCACGGGTGCCTCCAGTTGGCGCTCTCGCAGGAGATGCCCGTGGAGCTCTGGTTTCAGTGCACGTGCGAGGACACCAGGCCTGGCGACGTACTCGTCGTAGTTGGAGACCACCCAGTGTTGGGCGACTGGTCCCCGCAAAGGAGCTGGAGCCGAACTCCAGCACTCACACCTCAGGGGATCGATTTGCATGTTAAGGCTAGACGATCGCGCGCGCACGCGGACGCGTTCGTGCGCCTGCACCGCAACACGCTTGCAAGCTTGCTGGCCTGATTGCTTGCGTGCTTGCACATCACCAAACTAGCAAGCATGTGCGATGGAACTCGCACGTTTGCACGTCAGGTTTGCACGCCAGTAAGACGCGCGCGTTCGCTAGCTTGCACGCTGGTGTGTTCGCATGCTCGCGCGGCCCAGATGCCGCTTCAATTCGGCTGGGTTGGTGTTGGGGGCATTGGGCTCCCCTGCACTTGCCCGCAAGCCCGTCCAAAGGAAGGTTCCCTTCACAGAGTAGCTGTGTCCAGCCCCAGAGAAGCTGACCAAAGTATCCACAAGGCACCAAGAGCACGTTGCGCAGCCCGGCAGAATCCCCAAGGGAGGCCCCGCAAGGCTCCATGGGAGGTTCCAGACGCCCAGCACAAATCATAAGGCGGTCCTGTGTCATTTCCATGTAAAAGCGTTGGCCTTGCAGGCCCAGGATGGCTTCAGGGGGCCTGGAAGGCCCATGAGGGCACACGAGTGTTCGATGACGGTCCATGAAGGCTCTCAAAGGCCCCTGTGCAGGGCGGCCGCAAGAAGGCCTCAAAACAACCCAGCAGGGCTTCCCGATGGGATCCAACAGACCCCCACGACGACCCAAAGAAAGCCCCTGTGCGTGTGCGCTCTGTGCTTGCGTGCCTTTGTGTGTGCACGTGTTTGTGTGTGTGGTGTCTGCGTCTGCGTGAGCTCGTCCGCGGCGCGCGCATGTGCATGTGTGAGCGTTCCGTCGAGCTGAGCTCTCCAGCCGACCCAGAGAGCGCCGAGATCCCGTCCTGAGTGCCAGAGCTCAGCTCGCAACAGGAGCTCCGCGGTGCTGCACACGAGCCCATCGATGTTCCCGAGGTGGGAGGCGCAGGCGCCGCTGCTCCTGGAGCAGGGGCCAGGGGCACTCCTCGAGCGCACCGCCGTGGAGTACAAGTACGCCATCCTGCGCGAGGACGCGGCGGGGGGCTGGGACGCCCGCTGGGAGGACCTGGGCGCGGACGAGGACGGCGAGGAGCTGGTCCACGAAGAAGACAAGAACAGCACAGACACAAGCTGTCCGAGCTCCGCGCGGATTTCGTGGATCTGCGGTCGCCCCCTCCCCACCCCCTGGCGGCGCTTCCGGCACCGCTCCTGGCGCGCTCCGCGCGCCAGGGAGGGGGGCCCAGCGCAGATCCGAGAGAGCCGCGCGAAGCTTCGAAGGCTTCTGTTTACGCCGTTGTGTTGTTCTTCCTCTCAGGTCCTGCTGCCCGACCCGGACCTGGGCGAGCCCGGGCCGGGCCGGGCCCCCGACTCGCACGCCGATGGTCGGTTACGCGCGCGAGCGACCCTTCGCTGAAGTGGCCACCTCCCTCGGGTTGCGCCCAGACCGCCCCCCCCCAGTCGGTCGGGCTGGCCTCAACAGGCCCCCCGAGCAGTCCCAGCCAGCCTCAACGGGTCCCCCCGAGCAGTGCAGGGCGGTCTCAACCCCTGAGCAGCGTGAGAAATCACGACTGGAGCTCAGACCTGACGACGACGACGACGACGACGACGACGACGACGACGACGACGACGACGACGACGACGACGACGACGACGACGACGACGACGACGACGACGACGACGACGACGGCGGCGGCGGCGGCGGCGGCGGCGGCGGCGGCGGCGGCGACGACGACGACGACGACGACCTGATCGATGGTTGAGGCTCCTGGGGCCCGATGCCAGGCGAAGATGCTCGGCTCGGGAAGATTGCCACGCTGCGATCTCGGGGCAACGGCCAGCAGGCCGCGCACCGAATGTCACTCCTGCCAACAGTCAGCCCGCGTAGTAAGGATGAGCGACTTTCGAAGGTTACCCTTGCGTCTCTCCGATTCAGCCAATCCTTGGCCGCTTTCCCTGGCCGCGCCCCGCCCGCAAAGTGTCGGCATGGCCTTCCAGGGCCCCTGCATCCTTTATCGTGCGTCCTGAGTATGTGTCACTGAGCGCGTTCCACTACTCGCAAAGCGCATTCCTCGATGTAATTTGTCGTAGATCCCGCACGGTGGATCAAGACCACTTGCGAGCAGCTACTCTGCGAGTAGTGGAACGCGCTCGTCTAACGTGGGTTGACTGCACTCTGGACGTGGTGCTGATCGAGGGCGGGGAGATTGAACTCCCGACGGAGCGCGCCCCTCCCCCCTCGCCTCCCTCCTCCTCCTTCCCCTCCTCCTCCTCCTCCTCCTCCTCCTCCTCCTCCTCCTCCTCCTCCTCCCTGTCCTCCTGCGCCGTCTCCTCCTCCTTCTCCTCCTTATCCTCCTCCTCTTCCTACTCCTCCTCCCCCGTTCCTCCTCCTCCTCACGATCCTCCTCCACATACGTTTCCTTTTATGAACAACTCCTCCCTGTCGCACCCCGAGGCCAGTCGGAAGGGCGGGCTGGGCGTTTCGCTTGAGACTTCTTTTCCATCTATGAGCCTGAAGCCTAAAAATTGACAACAGCTTCACAGATGGAGGGTGGATCGTTTTCAAAATGTGGCTCTCGCCTCAGCGCCGCGCATGACCCCGGCGCGACCCCAATTAGGGGAAAGTTTCCAATTGCATGGGCGCAGTTCTTGGAATTGCTTCGCGAATGGCTTCGCATGGCTTCGCAACGCTCGGCATTGCTTGGCATTGCTTGGAACAGGCACGTCAGGAATACGAGGCACCAGGGACGGGGAACCTGGGGAGCCCGTGGAACCTGAGGAACCCGGGAAACCTGGGGAACCCAGGGAGACCGGGGAACCTGGGGAGCCTAGGGAACCCGGGGAACCCGGGGAACCCGGGGAACCCGGGGAACCCGAGAAACCCAAGGAACCCAAAGAACCCGGGGAACCCGAGGAACCCGAGGAACCGGAACCCGAGGAACCCGGGGGACCCGAGGAACCCAGGGAATTTCCGAGGAACGGACAAAGTAGCCACCCGAGGCGCCAATTTTTCACCTAGTAAGAACCCCTTGCAAGAGCTCCACGGATTGAAGCCAGGTGGTTCTCAAAATGTGGCTCTCGCCTTAGGGCCACGCACACTCGTCTTTTAAATTGGAAGAACTCCACGGATCGAGGACAGGTGATTTTCAAAATGTGGCTCTCGCCCTGGCGCCGCGCACATTCGTTTTTAATGTGCAAAAGGTTCGCGGATTGAGTGCGGCTCGTTTTCAATTTCTGGTTTTCGCTTTGGCGCCGAGCACATTCGTTTCAAACAACCAGAATTTCGCTGATTTCCATGGCTAACATTCCAGACATGGTGTTGTCAAACGATTCACGTCTGTCAAGGTGCAACAGTCACGTTGATTCGCGGTGTTGAAGTCTCAAGAATGGTGTTCTGGCACGATTCAGGATCTTCAAGACGCAACAATCAGATTGACTCGTGGCGTTGAAGTCCCGAGAATGGTGTTTTGGCACGCGTAAAGATTTTCACACGGCTGTCCCCAAACGGCGCACGTCCCTCAGTGGAAATGAATTCTTTTGTAGAGGCCAGTGAAGAGGGAGCTTGGAGAGAGAGTGTCTTCCAACATCGTTGATGAGTCTTGGGTTTACACGGGTCCTCCTCCTCCTCATCCTCTTCCTCCTCCTCCTCCTCCTCCTCCTCCTCCTCCTCCTCCTCCTCCTCCTCCTCCTCCTCCTCCTCCTCCTCCTTCTCTACTCGTTCCAGGAGCGCGAGCCCAACTCCCCCCCAGGATCCAGGAGGGCGGGCGATCCTTGCCCCCTCCAGCGCAGGGCCACTCTTGCGCGTAGCCGCCGATGGCCGCGGCGGCGCCCGCGGGCCCTGCAACCGCAGGCTCCCCCTCGCTGGGGACCTCGTGGCCTTCCGCGCGGAGCGCTTCGGCGAGGCCCGGCCCGCCGCCGCGGCGAGCTGGCCCGTGGGCCCCGACTGGGGCCCGGGCGTGGCGGGAGGCTCGCTCCTGCAGCTATGCCTTCCCCATCCTGCTCGTCCTCCTCGTTTCTTCCTGCTCTCCTCCTCCTCCTCCTCCTCCTCCTCACTCATCTCAGCTCATCATCATCAGCATCAGCATCATCAGCATCATCATCAGCATCATCAGCATCAGCATCATCATCAGCATCATCAGCATCATCAGCATCATCAGCATCATCAGCATCATCATCGTCATCATCATCAGCATCATCATCATCAGCATCATCATCATTATCATCATCTTCCTGTTCCTCCTCCTCCTCCTCCTCGGCCATTCCTCTCGGGCAGGGGCGGACCCGAATTTCGATGAACAACTTGGAAATGGCACTGTCACCGAGAGCCCCTCAGGTAGGTGGCGGCCCCGCTGAGCGACAACGCCGAGACCAGGCCGACCACAAGCTTCGCAGCCGCTGGATGGCCACCTCTTTCCCCGTTCTCTCGCAGCCTCCCGTTCCCTCGCCCTTGCCCCGCCGTCTCGCGGGCTCCGACGACACCCCCCCGTTCGAGCTCTTCTCTTCTGGAGTGCGCATCCCGTGCGCGCTCCACGGCAGCCTCTGAGCAGCTCCGGGAGCGGCTGAGCAGCAGCGTGCACGGGCAGGCACCACAGACGGAAGCCCAACGTCATCTGCTACAGCAGCGACGGCCAACCGGGCCCCGTTGGCGACAAAAGCACGAGCCACATGCCATCTGCAGCAACGATGGGAGCAGCGCGTGTTCAAACAACCAGAGACCAACGTCATCAGCTACCGATGCTGGGACCACTGTGCGAGAAAGAGGCGGGCAGTGGCAGCACGTGTGTGCGTGTGTGCGAAAAGGCGGTGGCAGGAAAGCGTCATCAGCTACAAAGCAGGGTTCTGTTCTTGCGAGAAGGCGTGCATTGGCAGCACCTGGCGCTGTGTGCGAGGAGGGCGAGCAGCGGCAGCAGGATCTGTCGCTACTCGAAAGGTGGAAGGCGACGCTGGAGCCCGATGTCATCAGCAACAGCGTTGGGGTCAGGGCGTGCAAGAAGAGCTAACAGGCGGCTCTGGCACTACCTGGCGAGAAGCGGGAGGCCAAGCTGGAGCCCGAGCTTGTCAGAAACAGCGTTGGGCACAGAGTGTGCGAGAAGGGCGAGCAGCGGCAGCAGGCTCTGCCGATACTAAACGAAAGGTGGAAGGCGAAGCTCGAGCGTGCGAGAAGGGCGAGCAGCGGCAGCAGGCTTTGTCGATACTAAACGAGAGGTGGAAGGCGAAGCTCGAGCCCGATGTCCTCAGCCACAGCGCTGGGATCAGGGCGTGCGAGAGGGCCAAACAGCAGGCGGCCCCGACGCTCCTGTCCGAGAGGTGGGAGGCGAAGCGGCAGCCCGCACTCGCCAACCACAACGCTGAGACGGGCGAAGGCGTGCAAGCGTACATCATCGGCGCCAAAACTGGGACTTGCTCATTCGACAATTGGCGAGTCGACACCGTTAGCCATGGTGCTTCGATCATGCCTGGCAAGAGCGTGCGAGCCGACATCATCAGCAGCAGTAGCGTTGGGGAAGAAGTCGTGCAGGAAGTGACGTGCAGACATCATATGCTACAGCGTTGGGGGTAGGCTGTGCGAGGATGCCAAGGCGTGCGAGAAGGGCAGGCAGTGGCAGCAGGAGTGGAGAAAGGACGCGGGACCAACGTGATCAGCCACGGCGCTGTGCCCACCACCGAGGCCAGCGGAGGGCAGTGCCAGCAGACGCGGTCGCTTCAGCGCTGGGGGCCGGCTCGTGCGGACGAGGCTCGAGAGCGCGCGCAGCAGCTCGAGAGCACGGGCAGGCAGCGGCAGCAGCGGTGCTAGTACGAAAACGCAGGCAGCTGCAGCAGGTACGGACAGTCAGCGCCAGAAAAAAAATGTCCCAATGCAGTCAAAAGGAGTCGGGTTGCAAAGGCGCGGAAGAGGGGCAGGGAGTTCCACTGGGCAGGCAGTGGCTGCAACGGATTGCACTGCCGGCAGCCCTGCGTCATCGGCTGCAGTTGGCCGGGATCAGCGCGCGGGCGGTGCAGCAGCGCGTTCGCAGAATGGCAGGGGGCGCTGCCTTGGGGGCAGACTGGCGCGGAGAGCGTGGGCACGCGTCATTAGTTTTAAGTCGGGCCTGCCCCTCTACAGGGGGAATATCCAAAAATAGTCACAAAATAGTCGGGGGACTATTTTTGTAGTATTTTTGCCATTTGGGGTATTTGTTGAGTATTTTTTATTTTTCGTCGAAAATCCCCCTGTAGGGGGATACGCCCGATTTAAACCTACGGTGCTGGAGTCAGCTCGTGTTCCGTCGGCCCTGGGACGGCCAGAGTGGCAGGGCATGGCCGCGGCGCCGTCGGGGTTTGCTTGCCTCCCTCCTGGTCACCCGTTTGATCGCGACACTCCTCCTTCTCCTCGTCCTCCTCCACCTCTTCCTCCTCCTTCTCCTCCTCCTCCACAGCCACCTCCTCCTCCTCCTCCTCCTCCTCCTCCTCCTCCTCCTTCTCATCCTCCTCCTCCTCCTTCTCTCCTCCTCCACTCCACCTCCTCCTCCTCCTCCTCCCTCCTCCTCCCTCCACCTTCTCCTCCTCATCCTCCTCAGTCCCTCCTCCTCCTCTCCTCCTCTCTCCTCCTCCTCTCCTCCTCCTCCTCCTCCTTCTCCTCCTCCCCATCCTCCTCCCCCTCCTCCTCCTCATCCTTCTCCTCCTTCTTCTCCTCCTCCTCCTCCTTCTTCCCCTCCTCCTCCTCCTCCTCCTCCTCCTCCTCCCTCCTCATCAGCATCATCATCATCATCATCATCATCATCATCATCATCATCATCATCATCATCATCATCATCATCATCATCATCCTCCTCCCCCCCTTCCCCCTCCTGCCCCCCCGCCCTCCCTGACATGCTCGCGATGTGGAAGAATCACGACGGGAGGTTTTCGGCAGTTTTCGGCCTCCCAGGGCAACGGTTCGGCATGAATAATTAGCCTTGGGGGAGGGGTCGGGATTCCCAGGGGCCACATTGAAAAAGGCAAGACATCGCATGTTTGGGATGGCGTTGCAATTTCTCCACGCCGGGCGTGTTCGCCCAGCTTCGGGGACCCAGGAACCTCACAGATCGACGCGGCTCGAAAACTGCAGCCGCGATGTTTCGCGATCTTGATGTATCGCGATCTTGATTTTTTGTGTTGCCGTGCCGGGTCTCAGAGAGGTGCCGATACAGGTACCCTTCCCTCGTCGCCACGGCCAGATTCGTGTCGAAATCTGGGTCAGACCACGCAGCCTGGGGCAAGGTCGGGGGAGCCGCGGCGTTCCAGGCCTCCCAGATGGGGTCCCAGCAGATGGGGTCGGAGCATCGCGCTGCAGCGCCGATGCGTCGCCGATGCGGCCTGATGTGGGGCCAGACGTTCTCCACGCCGACGGGTCGCCGATGCATGGCTGGCGCCGCCGATGCACCGCTGCTGTATCGGCGACGGCGATGCGGCGCGGTCCTCCGACCCCATCTCCTCGGGCCCACCTGGGAGGAGATGGAGGAGGGGGAGGAGGAGGAGGAGGAGGAGGAGGAGGAGGAGGAGAGGAGGAGGAGGGAGGAGGAGGAGGAGGAGGAGGAGGAGGAGGAGGAGGAGGGAGGAGGAGGAGGAGGAGGAGGAGGAGGGGGAGGGGGAGGAGAGGAGGAGAGGCGGAGGAGGAGGAGGAGGAGGAGGAGGAGGAGGAGGAAGAAGAGGAGGAGGAGGGAGGAGGAGGAGGAGGAGGAGGAGGAGGAGGAGGCCTCCACGCATCGCGACGTGCCGGCTGCCCCAGAGGCGGCGCGGCGCTGGGCGGCGCGTGCGCCCGGGGCGCCTCCGGCACGCTGCGCGACCTGAGGTACCGCCTGCCGCTGCGCGTCTTCGTGGCGCCCCGGCGCGCGCGGGTTCGGGCCACGCTGGCGAGGCTCGGGGGCGGAAAAGAGGGGGGTGATGACTAGGGGGGGGGATATCATGGCGGGGGCCACGATATTTCCCCAGATTTTATGGCGCCTCTTCTTATTTCATTACGTCCCTGGCCCCCTGGGCCGCGCACATGCCGCCGGTCATGATTTGCACCCCCCCGTGTTGGACACCCCCCTCTTGGCCACTCCCGAGAGGCTCTTAAGGGCCCTCAAGCAGTAGGCCTCCTCGAGGCCTCCTGGAGACCGTGTGGAGGCTGGGAGGAGGCCTCTGGCGGACCTCCCCTGGTCCTCCCGGAGGCCTCCCGCCAGCCTCACGGAGGCCCCCCCTGGTCCTCGGGGAGGCCTCCAGGGCCACGCTCGCGAAGCTCTGGGCCTCCCAGATGGGGTCCGAACAGATGGGGTCGGCGTATCTCTTGCCAGACATGTTCGCGCCGTCAGAAAGCACCACGGGAGGTTTTTCGTCGCTTGCGGCCCGCAGGGACTCTCGCCGGGCCTTGGGACCGTCAAAGAACGATTCTGCATGAAAAACCGGCCCTGAGGAGAGGGTCGGGACTTCCGGGGACCTCGTCTTGAAAACATCCGGACATCGCATGCCTGGGCACGCCTCGGCGACGCATCGCCAGTGCACGGGCGATGCGGCGCGATCCTCCGGCCCCGTCTGCTTGGACCCCACCGGGGAGACCTCTGCAGAGGCTGGGGCGGGAGCGCCACCTGCCGGCGGACTTGTGGCAGCGGATCTTCGAGCTGGTCGGCGGGGAGGCTGCGGCGGGGCTGCGCTGAGCCTGCGCGCCGCGCGCCTGCCTTCGGAGGCTCTCGCGGGGGTTCCGAGAGGAGGGGGCCTGGGACCGGGCGAGCAGTCGGTCATGAGGACCTGAAGCCAGCTGGGGCGCTGAGGTGGCCCAGCACTTGTCCCGGCGAGCAGGGGGGGGGGGAGGGCGAGGGTCGAGGTTCCGAATTCGAGCAGGTTGCTTGCCCTTGTCGTCCTCCGGGGGCCGTTATCGGGCCCGGGACCGTGAAAACCTACGCCGGATGGTCCCCGGGAGGGGTCTGGGGATTGATTTTGAACGGAATTGTCTTCCCTTTCTTGACCGATTTTCTCAAGGTCCATCCGCTTCAGACCCCCTGGCCACCTCCAACAATAGGCCATTAGAATGGCACGTCCAAAAGATCCAGGTCTTCCCTGAAGTTCCAGATCCCCTGATGTTCCACACGGGCAGCAGAAACGATGGCCGCTAGATACTCTGGAGCTCCTGGAACGCATCTTGAGCCAATCGCATCAAGACATCATTCTCGTCCTAGAGGAGCGGTGGCCGCAGAGGTCCCCCTCGCCGTATGCGAGCTTGTCCGCGTCGCTGGGCCTTGCAGAGCCGATCTTAGATTGCCCTGCTGAGCCCTGCAGGGCCGATCTCATATTGCCGTGCAGGGCCGAGTCTGCAGAGCATGCTGAGCTTGCCCTCTGCCGCATAGCAGCTTCCGCCTCATTCTTCTTCCCTGGTCATCTGCTCGCTGCTCAGCCGCCCTAGTATCGACGCCGTTCCCAGCGTGTGCCGCCGTGACGGTTCAGCCACAGCCACATAGTCGCATTCGGTGCTAGAGCGAGCCACATTGCCGCCACCATCTTCAGCCTGACCCGCAGAATCAGTTTAACGCCGCTCTTGCAACACATCATAATTGCCTTGCAACGGGCATGTGTATTGCACAAGTAGCCGAGGACACCCACACGGTAGCCATCGCGCAAAGTTTCGAGATGAAGCGATGCAAAAAGGTGCGCATCGCCAGCTTCATCATCATTTGCAACATCGCCACCTTCGGCAGCATCCCCGTCTAGAGCGAAGGGAATGATGTTGAGTCAAGTAGTATCGAAGGCGCCTCTGGCGAAACACCGTCGCCCCCTGCCTTCTGGAAACACTTGAGTGGACGAACGTTGGGCCTGACCTTCCGTCCAGGAGGCCTTATTGAGCCACCTTGGACTGTAAAATCGACGGAGTGTCGGTTTTGCGCGGGGTCGGCGGGTTAAGCAATCCCTCACCTACATACATACACACACGTACGCATGCATGAATGCATATATATATATATATCTATATATATATATATATATATATATATATATATATATATGCCGGCGGAACAGGAGCGAGGCCGCCAGGAGTGGACCTGCGCCCCCCATGGGATCTCCAGGGCTCAGTTTCCATGTGTTTTTACAGGGTTTCGGCGTTCCAGGACCTCCGAGGGAGGCCGCCAGGAGTGGACCTGCGCCCCCCATAGGGGGCTCCGGGGCTCATATGCTGGCGGAAGGGGATCGGGGCCACCAGGCCAGGACCTGCGCCCCCCATGGCCGCTCCAGGGCTCCGGGAGCGCTCCTGTCCGGGCCAAGAGGCGGCCAAGACGTGCCCAGGGAGGCGCAAGTGGCCCCCAAACCGGTCCTAGCCGGACCCGGGGCGCTCAAAGATCGCCCCTGGACGCTCAAGATGGCCCCCATTGAGCCCAAGAAGCCGCTACAACGCCCCAAGTTGCTTTCCAAGAGAGCCCCAAGCGGCCAAAGTCGTTGATTTTGCATGGGAAAACGTGCATTTTTAGCATTTACGTCTTTTCGGTCTTCACGGCGCGCACGAGGGTACAGGAGGCCCCCACGACGGCCTCAAGACGGCCCAAGAGGCTCCCAACACGGCCCAAGAGGAGCCCAAGACAGCCCCAGAGGCGGCCAAGGCGTGCTCAAGAGGCAGCCGAGACGTGTCCACGGAGCCCCAGGAGGCTCAAATCGGTCCAAGACGGCCCCAGGGCCTTCAAATATCGCCCCTGGACACCCAAGATGGCTCCCATAGAGCCCAAGAGGCCGCTACGACGCCCCAAGAGGCGTTCCAAGGGAGCCCCAAGCGGCCAAAGTCATTGATTGAGCATCGGAAAACGTACATTTTTAGCATCTACGACTTTTCGGTCTTCACGGCGCGCACGACGGCACCCCAAGAGGCCCCAAAGACGGCCCCAGAGGCGGCCAAGGCGTGCTCAAGAGGCAGCCGAGACGTGTCCACGGAGCCCCAGGAGGCTCAAATCGGTCCAAGACGGCCCCAGGGCCTTCAAATATCGCCCCTGGACACCCAAGATGGCTCCCATAGAGCCCAAGAGGCCGCTACGACGCCCCAAGAGGCGTTCCAAGGGAGCCCCAAGCGGCCAAAGTCATTGATTGAGCATCGGAAAACGTACATTTTTAGCATCTACGACTTTTCGGTCTTCACGGCGCGCACGACGGCACCAGAGGCCCCAAAGACGGCCCCAAGACGCTACCAGCACGGCCCAAGACAGCATGAGGCGGCCAAGGCGTGGCCAGAGGGCCCCATGAGGCTCCCAAAACGTTCCATGGCAGCCCCGGAGCGCTCAAAGCTAGCCCTTGGACGCCCGAGACGGTTTTCACAGTGCCCAAGAGACCGCGAAGACGCCCCAAGAGGCCCCCAAGAGGCTCCCCAAGAGGGTCCCAAGAAGTCAAATTCATTGATTTTGCATGGCAAAACGCATATTCTTAGCATCTACGACTTGTCGGTCTTCACAGCGGTGACGATGGCACAAGAGGCCCCCAAGAGAGCCCCAAAACGGCCCAAGAGGCTCCAAAGACGTCCCGAGAGGGGGCCAAGACACCCCAAGAGGTCCCCAATACGACCTAGGAGAGCTCCAAGACGGCTCCAAGAGGAGCCCAACAGGGGGAGCCCGACCCGAAAATCCGACCCTTCCGCCCCAAGAAGGTCCCAGGAGGCCCCTAAGAGGCTCCAAGAGGCCCCAAAGAGATCCCCCCAATATGCCAAACCCAGCGGGGGCTTACGGAGGGGAAGATCCCCCCAAGAGGCCTTTGAGAGACTCCAAGAACCCCCCCGCGGCCCGCCCCCCGCGCAGGGACGGCGACGGCGGCGGCGCCGCCGTCGTCGTCGTCGCCCTTGCCGTCGTCAGCGCCGCCGCCGTCGTCGTCATCATCGTCGCCGCCGTCGTCGTCGTCGCCTCCGCCGTCGTCGTGCTCGTCGTCGCAGGCGCCGGTCGAGGACCGATCAATCGAGGATCGAGGTTCGACGATGTCTTTCGGTTTTCGGCCCCAGGGGGTCTTTTAGCTGACTTTAGTCGATCAGAGACAGCGCGAACGCCCAGGACGCTAAGCAGCGCGAGAGCTAAGGGCGAGCTCTGTTATGTTTGTTCGAGTCTTCCGGCGACATTTTTTCTGACGCGTTTCGACGAAGTGTGATTCGATTTGTCCTTGACCTCGGCTAGCACCAAAGCGCGCGCGAAGCGCGCGCGATGGTTCTATATGGATACATCCGTTTATACCGCATAGACCACCCTTCGGGTGATAAGGAGGTGAGGGGGGGGGAGGGACCAACGTCGCACTCGATTGATCTCACTATCGAACTCACTACCGATCTCACAATCGATCTCAATCGATAGATCTGACTATCGATCTCACAATCAATCTCACAATTGATCTCACAATCGATCTCCCATTCGGTCTCGCTCTTGGTCTCACAATCGATATCACAATCGCTATCGCATCCGATCTGACTATGGATCTCACTATCAAACTCACTATCGATCTCATTACCGATCTCACAATCGATCTCACATTCGGTCTCGCTATTGATCTCACAATCGATATCACAATCGATCTCGCATTCGGTATCACTATCGATCTCACAATCGAACGCACTTTCGATATCATCATCGATCTCACATTCTGTATCACTATCGATCTCATGATCGATATCACAACCGATCTCACAATCGATATCACATTCGGTCTCATCATCGATCTCACTATCGAACTCACTATCGATCGCATTATCGATCTCACAATCGATCTCACAATTGATCCCACAATCGATCTCACATTCGGTCTCACTATTTGTCTCACTATCGATATCACCTTCGATATCACAAACGATCCCCCACTCTGTCTCA